CCCCCTCTTCTCTCCCCCCCCGCCCTGCCCCATTGCGAGCGGCGGCGACGCTCCTGCGCGCGCGGTGTCCTGTCGCGCGCGATTGGCCAGGGGCGCCGCGCGCGCGGCGGCTGCGCCCCGCCCCCCCTCTCTCTGCCGCACGGTTCCAGCATGCATTCAAAATGAGCAGGGGGGCCGGGAGCGCGGCGGCCCTGCCCGTCGAGCGCTGCGCTTCAGCTCGCAGAGTTGGGCCAGGTCGCTGCGGGCGCGGCGGCGGAGTAACCGCGCGCGCGGCGTGCTCTTCTTCAGAAGTGGCCAGCGTCGTCGCGCGCCGCGGCCCTGCCGCTGCGCGCGCTGTGTTCCCCGCGCAGACCGGGCCAGCGTGGCCGCGCGCTTGCTGGCCGCCGCCGCGGCGACACCGCCCCCCGCGCATTGGGCGCGTCGGCTTCGCCCCTTCGCTATCTGGTTTGCTTTGGTCGGAGTTGGCCAGGGCGCCGCGCGAGCGGCTTCCCTGGCCCCCCGCGCGCGCCCCCCGCGCACGCTGCCTCATCCCGCTCGCATTGGCAAGGGCCGCCATGGCTTAGGTTCGTGAATTGACTACAGGCGGTCCAGCGGAAATCCTGCCCAAATCTTCAAAAAACCTTCGGCCGGAAACTCAAACTCCAAAAACATTTTAAAGAATCTTGAATGGGAAACTCAAAATCCAAGACAACCTGAGAGAATCTCAAGCACAAAACCTGGGGAAAACTCACACACAGAAGAAACTGCAGGACATCTTGAAGCCGAAACCTGGGAAAAAAAACTCCAACCTTTAAAAAACCTAGAAAAAAACTTGAAGCGGAAACCCGGAAACAATTCAAACCCGGAAGGTTTTGTAAAAGTATTTTTTTTTTGGGGGGGGGGGAGTTTTTTTTTTCCAGAGTTGTTCCATAGTTTTCCAGAGTTTTTTTGAGTTTTCAGTCGTTCAGAGTTGTTGTTTTTCCAACGTTTTTTTTTTTTTGTTTTTAGAGTTTCAGTCGTTTAGAGTTGTTCCAGAGTTTTGTTTTTCATATTTTTCCAGATGTTTTCAGAGTTGTTTTAGAGTTTTGTTCCAGAGTTGTTTCCACAGTGTTCCCACAGTTTTTCACAGTTTTCGGCTTAGAGATGTTCTGGAGTTTTGGTTGGTTTGAGTTTTTTTTTTCCTAGGTTTGAGCTTCAGGTTTGTTTGGTATGTTTTTGTGGGTTTGAGTCTTTTCGCAGGTTCGGTGTTTGAGTTTTTTTTTTTCAGGACGTCGACCTCCCCAGGTTTTGGTTTCAAGATTTCCTGGTGTTTTATTATGGTTTGGGTTTTTTTGGCCCGAAGTGGGCGTGGCCCGCCTGTAGTCGCAATTCACGAACCTAAGCCACGGCGGCGGCCCAGGCCCCTCGCGCGCGGCGTCGTTCCCTCCGCGATTCGCTTAAGCCGCCCCGCGCGCTGCGTTCCCGGCCCGCCGCGCGCTGTTTCTTGTCGCGCAGAATTGGGCAGCACCCCCCCCCCCCCGCTCCGCGCAAATGTGTGATTCCCCGCGCGCGGTGGGCGGAGGCTTCCGAGCCCGCGGCTGCCTCGGCGCGTCGCGCATTTTATTTTGACGCGCCGAATCGGCCGAGGCCGTCGCGCGCGCGGCTCCCCGCCCCCTCGCGCATTGGTTCTCTCCCCCGCGCGGCCTCGGCCAGTGCCGCAGCGCGCGCGGCGGCCCGCCAGGTCCCTTATCCACTGCGCATGCGGCCCAGGGCCATTGCGGCGGCCAGCGAGTCCGCTTCGCAAGCGCGGCGCAAGGGGTCCAGGGGCCGCCGCTCGCAACCCGCCCCTCCCGCGCCCCGTCTCCGGGCGCTGGTGCGTGCATTCTCGTTTCCTCAAAGCGCATTAGTGTTGCTCTCCAGGGCCTCTCATCGTATTGTTATGTGTTCTCTCTGGGCCCTTTGCAGGATCTGCAGATTTCCCATTGGCTCTCCCGCAGAACCCTTGCCTGCTCTCCTTCGCCAGCCGAATGTTCATTATTTCGATTTCGTTGACCCCGCCCCGGATCTGTATATGTCCTGCGTGGGCGTGGCGCAGAATCCCCATCCTGTCTATCAGTGCTCACTGCAAACCTTCTCATTGCCTCGCCCAGGTTGCAAGTGCGTTTCGACGCGGGAAGTGCCGTCAGAGCAGCTCCTCGCGTCGCGGCAAATTGCTCGCTGAGGCAAGCTCGCCTTGCAATTTGATACGACATTTGCCTTCAGACTGCCTCGCGCGGACAGCAGGGCCCCCTTGCTCGCGGGAAAAATGCTTACAAGGCAAACGCATGACGCGAGTATGGGGATCATTTACATACTCTAATTTACACTGAACTGAATGCCCCGTCGTATCTGCCAGCAAACTCACCGTGCGCTCGTAGATATATGAAACATGAGATGCATAGTTGCGAGCGCATTCGAAGAACCAACATATTTGGGAAAGCCAATTCTGCAGTCGATCCGCTACTCGAACAGCGCGAGGGGGTCTGGGTGTATAGCCATCCTCCTCACTGGGCGATCGTCCCAGGATGGGAGGACCCCTCAGATGCCCGCGGCTCTGCACCGACACGGATCCTGGCCAGGGCCATTTTGGGCCCAGAAACGGTGTACTTTCTTTGAGTCATGGCCTAGTCAGGAAGGCGGTCCCACCAGTTTTGGGCCCAGGAGGGGCCAGGCCTGGCGTATCGCTGGGGCCCGCCATTGCGATGGTGCTCATGTTTTTTGGTGACGGTGCTGATGATGATGCGGATGCCGATGGCGAGGATCATGCGAATGCTGATGAGGATGAGGATGAGGACGATGAGCATACTGATTGTGAGGATAATGCTGATGATGATGGTGATGATGTTGGTGATGATGCTTCTGGCGATGGTGTCGATAATGATGTCGACTGTGATCATCATCGCCCCCATCACCAGCAGCAGCAACTTCAGCATAATCGTCAGCGTCATCATCATCACCATCTTCATCAGCATCACCATCATCACCACCACAATCATCATCACCACCACCATCATCATCATCATCATCATCATCATCGCTCGCCACAGGTGATCGTCAGCGCTGGCTTTGACGCTGCCAGGGGCGACCCGCTCGGCGGCTGCCTGATCTCCCCCAAGGTGGGGGCTGAAACGCCAGGGTGCCGCCGCCGCTGCTTCCTCTCCCCCTCCCCCCCGCCTGTTTCTTCGAGAGGGGGGGGGGATTTGCAAGAACTTCGCGGATGGAGGGCGGGTGGTTTTAACACGGTGGTTCTCGCTGTAGCGCCGCGCGCATTCGTCTCAAATGTTTGGACGAGCTTCTCGGATGGAGGGCGATGCGGTGATCTTTTAAGCGCCGCGCATATGCGCACATTCGTTCTTAAGCTAAAACCGCTCCAATCGTTGACGTCCCAAGGTCTGTTGTTCCAGCACGGTTTGGAATTGTCTGGGCGAATCAGTCACGTTGATTCGCTGTGTTGAATGCCCAAGGAAGGCGTTCTTGTACGATTCGGGATCGTCACGGCGCAACAGTAGCGTTCATTCGCGGCGCTGCAACCCCAGGTTTAATGTTGTGCATCTTTTGGGGATTCTCAGACGGTTGTCTTCTAAAGGGGCGTTTCTGGTAGTGCACATGAATTATTGCAGGGACCTGTGAAGAGGGAGGGTTGAGGCAGGGTTTGTTGGAGGGTTGATTGCAACGCCTTTGATGCGCCTTGGATTTGCAGTGGTTGCTCCTCCTCCTCCTCCTCCAGCGTCTTAACAGAGTCGGACTTCGATGACCGAGACATAGTTGGTGCGTCTTTTTACCCTTCGGGAGCCCCCGCGAGACTTTTCATGGCCACGGCTGGATTTCCTTTGAGATTCTGGCCAGAACGTACCCCTGAAGAGGTCTGGGGGTCGACGTGTGACCCCCGCGGCCCAGACATAAAACGTCTTGAAACTTGCGTGTGGAATTGGTTCCGTTTCTTCTCGGCTCATGGGTGCCAGGCTTGGGCTCCGGGGTCTGTCATCCACGGCTCATGACGAACAGCAAGGTTTGGGGAAAAGTTTGGGATGCACCAGGACCGCTCGGAATCGATCCTCCGTAGTGCCCTTGTGGGGCGTGTGGGGCGCCGCGTTAGTTATTATGCGGCCGGATGCAACGATACGCGCGCCCCTATTCAATACGAGTTCATCCTCCAATTCACACCACCGCACGCTCCGCTCGAGCGTCTTGCCATCGTGAAACTTGAAAAGTTTCATGCTACTTGGATGGCGGCAGGGCAGTTTTCATAATGTGCATCTTGCCTTGGGTCCCAGCAGCACCTATCGTAAGAAAATCCACCAATTACACGGATGGACGTCGAATCGTGTTCAATATGTCGTTCTTGCCTTTGCGCCGCGCACGCCCATCTTGAATGTCTTCAGCAGCTACACGAATGGAAGGCGTTTTTTTTCCACAAGTCGGTTCTCGTCCTGACGCCGCGCACATGATGTTTCGCAGTCGAGTTCAACAGTTTTACGCATGCGGGACAGCTATTTCCGACATATGGTCACCTCGAGGCTCCAAATGTCCGAACTTTCTTTTTCGAATATAGATCTTTTGAAATTGCTACAGGATTGGAGGGCGTCACCTTTTCAACCTGTGTTTCTCGCTTGAGGCTGAATCGAAGCCTACCACCTTCAGTTTAAAACATGCACAACAGCTACGCGTGTGGAGTTTTTTTTCAAAACGGAGTTCGCGCCTGAGCTTTATTATGCGAAGTCTGAGACCAGCTACTCGTATGGATTGCCGATCTTTTTCGAACCGGTCTTCTCGTTAAAGGGTTCCCGAAGTCACCTTTCGATGCCCAAAACGGAGGCAATGCTACTCACCACCCACCAAACCACCCCAACCCAACCCGAAGGTCTCGATTTGCCCTCCATTTCCAGTTGGGGGGGGTCGGGGGACATCGAGAAAACACATATGGAGCCCGCCCTCCCCCCAACCCGAAATTCGGGTCTTCGGGTTGGGTTGGGGTGGTCTGGTCGGTAGTCAGCTACATCCGTAGCCATTTTGGTTCAAACCATATTGGCTCCAGCCTTGCCAGCTCCGGGTCGCTGGGCTGGAGGCTGGCCCCTCGCCTCCGCGCCGTCCTCTCCGTCTTTCCTCCTCGCTGTCTTGTTGTCGCCCCTCTCCGCGTGCAGCGCGTGCGGCCATGGCTTGCAGCCGCGCGCCTGGGCCGTGGTGCGTGCAGTTGCCAGCCGCGGCCGCCATGGTGGCCCTGTGCACCGCGGGCACGCGGCTGCTGCGCTATCTCTGGACATACCCTGCGCTGATGGTGCCTCTGGCCGACTCGACGGCCGAGTCCGTGTCCGTCGGAGTGTTTGTGCAAATGGCCGATCTCGGATCGTGGCCAGAGTTGCGGTCGTGTCTGTCGAACGTGGCGAGGGCACATGGCAGAGTCGATGTGTACGTGTCGTCTGTCGAGGGGGTCTTCCACGACAGTTCGGTGCGAGACGATGTCCAACAAATGATTTCTCGTATGAGCGTATCGATAGATCTGCGCATGTCAACAGTGCCAAACGTTGGAGAAGACATGGGCTCATTTATACATCAGCTCCACATGGCAGAGCGCGAAGGAAAGCGTTATGAAACGATATTGAAGGTGCATTCATTTTCTAATCACGGGGCTGCGTTGCGTGATCTTGGTCTTCAATCTCTTTGTGGATCCAGGTGGCAAGTCGGCGCAATCGCAACTAATTTCATGGAGTGGGCCGACGTGGATATGATTGTTCCAGCAGGTACCATATTTGACGCCGCCACACCCATCAGGCGAATCGCTTCTGTTATTCGCGATTTATACTTTCGTTCGAAAGGTGTCAACGACACTGTTAAAAACGTGATTGGACAAAACGAGGAAAACCTCAAAACACTATTTCAGAAAGTGGCTCCTGATCTTACGGGTGCTGCAGCCGCAAATCATCTCGCAGCTGTTGTAGTTGGACGCATGTTTTGGGTGCGCCATGCTGCGCTGCGGCCGCAGGCTTTAGTTGCTGTGCGTGAAGAAATCCTAGCCGGAATGTCACATGGAGTTTCGCCAGATGGACGAATGGAGCACGCTTTGGATAGGTTTTTCCCTTCCAGCATTTTGGCACGTGGGCGAACAGTATCGCAAATGCCACCAGCGCCCAAAGTCATGGCAATCTATTTCCCACAGTATCATACATTCGAGGAGAACGACCGCTTTTGGGGTCGTGGTTTCACAGAGTGGACATTGCTGAAGCCTTTCGAAGGGAAAGGGATCCGCAAGCCGTTGAGTGTGGAGCAAGGCGGTCTTGGGTTTTATGATCTGACGAGCAGGGATGTTCGCAAACAGCAAGCGCAGCTTGCGATGGACCATGGTGTACACGGGTTTTTGTTTTACCACTATTGGTTTACAGGCAAAGGTGTGAAAAAACCAATGGTGATGGAGAAGATACCGTCGTTGATGCTTGAAGACGGCGAGCCCAACATGCCGTACTTTTTCAATTGGGCAAATGAACCGTGGACAAGGCAGTGGAATGGTCGTGCAAGTGCAGAAAATCCACCACTTCTTGCCCAAGAATACGGGGATCAAAGTGAATGGCAAAATCATTTTGAGTTTCTGTTGCCCTACTTCAAGCACGAACAGTACATGAAAATGAATGGCAAACCAATTTTCGCAATCTACAGACCTGGTCTTATCGCTGCCGAAGCAAAGCTTGGCCCCATGCTGTCACTATGGAGGCAACTGGCCCAACAACATGGATTTCCTGGCATGTATTTTGTAAACACTCACAGCGGGTTCTGGCAAGAGATGGTTGGGCAGCCTCCAATGTTCGATGCTGCATACCATTTTCTCTCAACATGTTGTTCCTCGGAAAAGGAATACAATATCGCAACGGCTGCAGACCAAGGCCTGAACCACGAGCCGGTTCAATTCTGGGGAGCTTTCACAGGCTTCAATAACCGGGTAAGAGGCCCTGATCAGCCCCTGGAGAAGCCAGTAACACCTCATCAATTCTACGCAGCATTGGTACATTCATTCAGCGCTATGGCTTCGGCGCCCCAGAGGCGGCTAGACCAGTTCTCCAATAACATATTCGTTGTGGCCGCCTGGAACGAGTGGAATGAGCAAAACGTGCTGGAGCCGGACACTGAGTACGGTTTTGGATTTCTGAAGTCTTTGCAGAAGGCGTTGACACATTTTCATTCATCGAGATTTGTTAGCACTGGCGATCTGTGAGCGATTTTTCGTCAAACGAGCACGTGAGGCGTCTTTCGGCGTACGGCTACGCGTTCAGCGAGTTGCGACTTCGTGCCATTCGGCATGCGGCTTTGAGTGAGTGGGTGAGTGCGCGCTGAAAAGAGCCCCAACACGCCCAAGAGAGACCCAAGAGGGCCCAACACGGCCCGAAAGGGTCGTCCTGTGGGGCTCACGGAACCCCCCAAGACGGCCCAAGAGGCCCTCAGGTCTTTCGCCAGGCCAATTGGGACAATTCAGAGCGTCGAGCTGTATGAGCAGCTCCATGTGCGACAGCGTCGGCCTTTCCCCTCCAAAGGGAGCGAGTCGCTGTTGCGCGCCATTGCTGGCCTATTTACCCAGCCTTATTTTACCCAGGCCTATTCTACCCCGGCCTATTTGGACCTTATAGTCGCGAGGTTCTGCCATGTTCGCCCTGGCAGTCAGGCTCTAGTAATTGCCACGCTGTCGTCGAGCGCACAAAAAAACCGGAGGCAATGCTACACAGCGTGGACCCCACGCATCGATCTGCTGCAATCTACGCATCGCAATCTAGGTGGTGCAATCAATGTGGTGAAATCGAGGTGGCGCAACCCAGGTGGTGCAATCCATGCAAAGAAGTGTAAAGCAATGCAATGCAATGCAACGCGATGAACACAAATCTGCACAATGCAACGCACACAACGCAAGCGAAGGTATGCAGCGCAATGCAAAGGAATTCAAGCCGATGTAATACGATGCAAAGCAACGCAAAGAAATGCAGAGCAATTCAACTCAGCACATCAACACAATACAGTGCAAAGCAATGCAAAGCAATGCAATGCAACGGGGCGGCGGCGACGGCGGAAACAGCTCCGTCGGGGAAGCAAACGGGCATGTTATTTGGAAACATGGTGCGGCGAAGGACGGGGAAGAGGCCGCCAGGGCGGCAAACGGGCCCAATTCCTTAGAAGGCAAGCATGATACCCTAAGTGCAAGCACTGTTTTCAGAATCTACACAGACTCATGGCGCTTCCTTTGTAAAACGGGGCTGACGTTGTGTACTCCCTTGAGCCTTGTTGTCAAGTATTGACGCAAATCGTTTAGCTCCAAGGAAGATCTTTTTCAATGCGGAGCTTCGCCTTGAATTGCGGACTAACTGTCGCTCTCTGCCTAGGGGGTGTTGAGCGCAGCAAGGATTCAGGAGTTGGGGACTTGAATTGTGACGGAGTGGTCTACGATTGCATCGTTGATCCACCTTGTAGTTTACGTTGGTCCCCCTCCACCTCCTCATCCTCTTCACACTGGTCGTGTCTGAACCCCCATGCGCCAGTTTGGCGCGGGGTGCAGTGCGGTCCTTGGTTTGCTTTTTGTTTCTTGATGTTCGTCCCTAAGGCACAGTGTTGCTGGCGCCATTGGGAGTTAGTCAGGAACGGAAGCCAGAGGTCATGTCCCAATCTGTGCCCGTGAACCCTATTCTGCATGAGTGCCTTTGGTGTTGGCCGTCGGTCACCTTTGGCCGTTCGCCAGGGCACGTAGGCTTGCGCTCGTCGCGCCATGCGTCGGCGGCATTGCTACGCTGCCGATCTTCCACTGGGCAGCATTCGCTGCCGTAGCTCCGCTCCGCAACGACCACAGACCGATTCCCAAACATCCGACGTTATGCTGTTTGAATGCGCAGCCCCAGCGGTCCTGACCCCTTCACCGTGGCCAGTTTTTGAGATCCATGCCGAACGACCCCGTGGCCCGACAACGTAACCCGGCCCAAGTCGAGGATCAACGCCAGCATGGTAAAATCATATCGTCTGAGTTTTCGTTGGGTTTGTCGCATCATCGCCCAACTCCCCAGACACCCGGGAGCCGTGAACAAGAACAACTGTGCGGCGTTTTTGTCACCCGCCTTCGTGGCCCAGCGCCCCGACGCATCGAACCGACTGTGCGTCTCGCATCGAGGTCGGCTCGGGAGCACCGGCCTCCATTCATACACCTCAGGTGATGCTTAAGGAAACCTAAGTTTTCGGCCAGAATCTCGATTATTCTTAACGTTTCAATGTGAATCTTAAGTTTTTAATGGGAAAGTTGGGTTTTTATTCAAGTTCTGAGACTATGAGTTTCTTGACCCATGATTTCTTAAGCATTTCGCAGGGTGTACAGCGCTCGTCGACTAGGCGTAAGAGTGACCTTTCTCGCCGGAGTGACCTTTGGAGCGGGCACAGATGGGCCCCCCAGATGGCTGAAAGAGAAGCTGCAGCAGCTCACCACCCACCAAACCACCCCAACCCAACCCGAAGGCCTCAATTTGCCCTCCATTTCCAGTTGGGGGGGGTCGGGGAACATCGAAAAAACACGTATGGAACCCGTACTCCCCCCAACCCGAAATTGGGGTCTTCGGGTTGGGTTGGGGTGGTCTGGTAGGTAGTCAGCAGCGGCTTACGCGCTTGCTTTTGGCCCACCCGCGGTCCTCAAAAAGCCGCGCACCAGAGGTCTTTCTTACCCAGGGTCACTCCTGCGTGTCGCCGAGCTTGGTGTCAGGAGTGCTCGCTTGTGTTGCGGGGAAGTTGCCCTGCCTGTCGCACTTTCAGTGGCTGTCTGGGCTCTTCTGCCTTCCCGCCCCGCCGGCCTGGTGTTGAACGACATGAACATGCAATTTCGACGGTACGCGCGGACACCTGAGAGATTATGTTCATGCAGTGTTGTGTTCCTCTACTGTGCGTTGCACCTTTCTAGTGGCCGCTTCGGCCCCACTGGTGTCTCAATCCGCTGGCCTTGTCCGCTGCACTTTTTTCTGTGAAACCCTAGACTTGTACGGATTGCCGCCCCGCTGGCCCCGGGTGTTACCCTTTTTTCGGTGGTTGTGTGGCTGCTTGGACCCTTCCCCCGCCCCGTTGCCCTAGCGGCTTTCACACACAAACGCACATAAACACACACACACATACACATACACACACATATATATATATATATATACATACATACATATATATGTACATATATATATATATATATATATATATATATATATGTAATTTCTGGTCGGGCGCATCGGGCACAGGTCTCCGAATTGTTGGGGTTCCACATGCACATGGGGTCCTCTATGCCTTATGTTGTACGAGCGGATCAGGGCCCCTGCGTGCTTCGCTTCTTGGGCCTGCCTTTGTTTTCGGGACTCGCGCGTTGTGGGTGCTGCGCCACCACGTGCACGACGCAAAATATTGGGATTTGTTGTCTTGATCTTCGCGCGTCGGTTGCTCGCGTAAAGCTGCCGCGCTGGCGGCCCGCAGAAGCTGCGGCGTACAGTCGCTTTGGCATCTCACGCGAGCTCTGGGCCTCTGTCTTGCCGTTGGGCGCCCCCGTCGGAGTCAGTTCATGCACAGAGTGAGGTGCGCCAAAAACTGTCGGGCGATTGGGGCCTCTCGGGGGCGTTCTCGAGGAGCTTGTTGGCCACAGCTGTCTTAGGAGGAGGGGGGAGTCCGGAATCTCTGGGTGTGGGAAGGGCCAGTCGTTTCACACGCCAAGGAAGTCCGCGGGGGTGGCCATGTTGTGACGACGATGTGACCAGCCAGGTGCAGTGGAGGACGAGGAGGAAGTGGAGGAGGAGGAGGAGAAGGAGGACCATTGTAAACCCAAGACTCATGAACGATGGTGGAATGCACCCTCTCTCTGAGCTCCCTCTTCACAGGCCCTACTATGGTTCACTTCCACTGAGGGAAGTGCCCTGTTGGGGGACAACTGCGTGAAAATCGGGAAGCGTGCCAAAACATCATTCTAAGGACTTCCATGCCAAGAGTCAATTCGATTGCTGCGTTTACTATCCTGAATGGTGCCAGAACACCATTCCTGGGATTTCAGCACCGCGAATCAGCATAATTGTTGCGCCCTGACAATTCTGCATCGTTCCACACAACCATTGCTGGAACGTTCACCATGGGACCTTGTGGAGCTGTTGCATGCAACATTTTAACGAATGTGCTCTGCGCTAAGAGGCAAGAGCCACATGTTGAAAAGGAGCCGTCCTCAATATGTGAAACTTCTGCAATGTAGGAAGAGAGTGTGCGCGGCGCAGAGGCGAGAGCAACATTTTGAAAATGAGCCGCCCTCAATCCAGGATGCTTCTGCAATGTTTGTTGACTCAGTGTGTGTGGCGCTAGGGCGGGAGACATACGTTGAAACCGACCCGCTCTCCATCCGCGATGCTGTCAGAAACTTTGAAGCAAATGTGCGCGGCGCTAAGGCGAGAGTCGCATTTTGGATGTTTGCCGCCCTCCATTTGTGAAACCGTTGCCAGCTTCACAGCTTGAGCCTCATACATGGTAAGGAAGTCTCAGGCGAAACGCCCAGACCGCCCTTCCGACTGGCCTCGGGGTGCGACAGGGGGGAGTCATTCATGAGGACAATGAATGGAGGAGGAGGAGGAGGAGAACGAGGAGTAGGAGGAGGGGGAGGAGGAGGAGGAGGCGGAGGAGTCGGAGGAGGAGGACACGGGGGATAATGATTTGAGGGGGAGGGGGAGGGGGAGGAGGGGGTGGGAGGGGAGGATGGAGGGGGGGAGTGGAGAACAGGGAGAGCGGGTGATGTACGATAAGCATGAGTACAATGAGCAGCAAGAGGAGGCGGAGGGTGAGGACGGCGCAGGCACAGCTTCGTTGCCCCACCTCAGGGGTACTACGAGATGACAGCCCGACTGCAGTCGCTGGCAAAGGGCCGGCTGGTGGTGGCCCTGGAGGGCGGCTACGAGCTGGACAGCTGCAGTGAGTCAATGGTAGTCGAGGGTAAATCCGCATCCAGTCGAATAAAAACTAGGGCATGTCTATCAGCCTGGACTCCAAACACTGCATGGTTTCTTCCTGGATGCGTAATCTGTGTTTGTATATACATGTGTATATATACGTGTGCTTGTATATGTATGTATGTGTTGGTTACGCGCGGCACATGTACGTATATATATATGTGTATATATATATATATATATATACATGTATGCGCGTATCCATTTTTTATATGTTACCAATCATGGGGGGTGCCCCCTCTTGCAGAACGGGGCCTTCAGGATCTGTGGCCCCAGGGACCCCTGGACGCCTGGGCAGAAGGCCCCCCTGGCTTTCTGGCTCTTCTGGAGGCCTTTGGTGGGCGTAGGCAATGGGCCCAAACTGGTCAGGCGGGCGGTTGAACGGCTCCGGGAGTGCCCCACGAGGCCTCGGACACACCAGACCCCCGAAGACAACCCAAAGAAGACGCTTAAGAGGTCTTCCGATCGCTTGACAACAACTGTTTGCTAGTTTTTTCTTGTTTGTGTGATTTTTGAAATGCTCTGTTCTTCGGTCTTGGGGCGTCCGAAGCCGTCTTGGAGACCCGAACATCGTTTTACATTTGACATCCCGGGCAGTCCAAGAGAGCCCCAAGACGACCCAACAGGGCCACAAGATGATCCGAAGTGAGCCCCATGATAGCACAAGAGTGCCCCAAGACCCTCCCGAAAGCATTCCAAGTCGCGACCTGGTCGTTCAGTGAGACCGCGGTTGGAAGCAGGGTGGCCATAGGAAGCCTCCAATGGCGCCCAGGA